CTCCTTCCTCCTCCTCTCAGACTCACACGCTCCTTCCTCCTCCTCTCTGACTCCCACGCTCCTTCGTCCTCCTCTCAGACTCACGCTCCTTCGTCCTCCTCTCTGACTCCCTGCTTTGTGTCTGCAGCTCCACTCCGAGGTGGAGAAACCACTGCTGACCTTCAGAGGAGACAACTTCAAGAAGGACCTGAAGAAGTTCGACCACCACATCGCCGACCTCAGGAAGCAGCTGGCCAGCCGCTTTGCCGGCGTGGAAAAGGTTAGACTCCCGTTACGACCTCTGAAGCGTGTTTAGATCCTGAAACGAGTCGGGATGAGTCAGAGTCTGTTTCCAGGAGAGTGATGGCAGCTCCCACGCTCGCTCCATCATGTCTCAGAGTTCTGCCTCCCACCTGCTGCTGGACAGACTCTGTCCTCACGTCACTGTCATGTCCCTGTCATGTCCCTGGCATGTTGTGGTGGGTGGCAGTGAGACGTGTGTCTCAGCAGGAGAAAGAGACGAGCTAAATGGGACCAGATCAGACCCATCAGATGGGTCCAGTTTTTCAACACATCCTGACCTTGGAGGAGAACGTTCACTAAAATGGATTAAAGGCTGAAACCATCTCATAAAAGAACCATTTAGAGACCACTGAGCGAGCCAGAACTGTCCAGATGTCAGGCCGGGTCTGCGGACCCTAACATCAGTGACCCGGTGGTTCTGTTGCTGTGTGCCTGCAGGCCCGTAAAGCCCTGGCGGACCGGCAGAAGGACCTGGAAGTGAAGACGCAACAGCTGGAGATCAAACTCAGCAACAAGACCGAGGAGGACATCAAGAAGGCACGACGGAAATCCACACAAGCAGGTCAGAGGTCAATCAATCAATCAATCAATTATTATTCATCAATCAGAGTTTATAATGATAAATACATCAGTAATAATGATTAATCAGATAACGTAGAATGTTAAATCAACGTATTTCTGGTTGTTGTTTGTTTATCTGGTTGTTGTTGTTGTTGTCTCCAGGGGACGACCTGATGCGTTGCGTGGACCTCTACAATCAAACCCAGTCCAAGTGGTTTGAGGAAATGGTCACGACCAGCATGGTACCAGAGATTTGTTTAGCTCGGGTCGGCTCTAACGGGCTCTGAACACGGTCTTACTCCTGAATCAGCTGTGAATGTGTCGGGTTTGATGTCTGAGCAGCTGATGTGTCCTCTGTCCTCTGTCCTCTGTCCTCCGTCCTCTGCAGGAGCTGGAGAAATTGGAGGTGGAGCGGGTCGAATGGATCCAGCAGCACCTGCGTCAGTACACGACTCTGCGGCACGAAACGGACATGTTCAACCAGAGCGTGAGTCTCGTGGTCCTGCTGCTGCTGGTTCATTGTTTTTATGGATATTTGTTGTCATTTTGAATCATTTAGCTGCTTCGCCTCATTTAGCTGCTTCGCCTCATTTAGCTGCTTCGCTCAGCACCTCTTATTGTCCACCTGGAAAGGATCCTGCTCTTCTATCAGCTTTAATGTGGACCGTACAGCAACGTGTCACTCCACGGATGTCATATCAAAACAACCGCTCTGCACCGTGATGTGTGCTGTTACTTTTATTGGCGTTTCGAGTTACCATGGCGACGTAATGTGCAAGCAAAGACGCCATTTTTCCCATCGAAAAACTCTGAGAACTCTTCACAGCCTCTAACAGACACAGTGAGGTCACATGACCCGGAGAAGAAAACTCAGTGTGGCGTCAAACAAACTCTTCCTACCACCACATCTTTTAAGATACACACACTTGTTATATATCAAAACGTAAGTGTGAAAAACGAGTGTGAACATTCGTTGTGTCACGGTTCATTTGTTCAACAGACCTGAGAGTTTTTACACAGCAGCTGTTTGAAACATGCTTTTGCCCCATTAGACACTTTTTCTCATGAATCTGTTACTGTGACCTGATGTTCTGTTAAGCTCACAGAAAGTAATCATCACATGTATCTGTAGAACTGATTAACTTCAGGAGCCATTTTGGTTCAAGATGGCTGCCACAGCTACTTCAGAAAACACGCAATTGTCTATAACTCAGTGAATCTTTGAGCTGAAAATGATTTGGCGGTAGCTGAGAGCGAACCCCAACACACAGAACTGTCAAATTAAAATTTAAAAATGGCTGCAACGTGGTCGTCCCCGTCAAAGTTTCTCCAGGAACTTTCTAGTTTTATATTTTACTGCTTCTACAGATGAATAAAACAAAGTGTTTGTTGCAAAGAAACAGCTTCACAAGATACACGATAAACAACAAAAACTGCCAGAAAATATAGGAGAAATTAAAAAATTCAGTTTGAGCTTTTATAAAAGCCCACCCGGGAACAAAAGCTGTAAATCATCAGGGAGCTAGGTCAAAACAAACGGAGTAAACAACAACAAATAACAAGATGGCCGCCAGTTTGATGAATGAAGTGTATAAGAGAAGCGACATGAAAAGAAATGTTAAAGCTGCTGTAAGTGGCTCGTTATGGTGGTAACCGTAGTAACCGCACACCTGCGTCTCTCACTCCCTGGCAGCACATACAAGCGAGACGGACAGAAACAGACTGAAAAGTAAACCTCAGACAAACGGTCGCTGTGTGAAAACTGCAAGTCTGATCTTTGAGACCCTTCAGAACCGAGAGCGGCAGAAGACCCCAGTTTTTGTGCCTCCAGAGTTTTACTGTTGGACGTTCCTTCACTTCCAGTTTTAAAGAGAATATTTTGAGCTTAAGTATTCCCAAGTCCTACAGCAGGGAGACACATGACGAAAGGAGGCAAAGCATTTAGCATTTATACAAAAACTCTTGTGGGAGTGAGAAAAGTCTGCAGACGATTTGGGACGATGCGACAGCTCAGAGCTTCGTGGCGTCGTCTTCTGTCTACAGAGATCCTAAAGTTCAGTTGTGTAAAGTCCAACTATCTGTGACCCGTTTAAACTCTGGACGATGGTTCTGCTGTGAAGTCTGAGCTGGAGTAAACTAAAGTCCTAAAACTGACGTTCACGGGGACATTTAATCTTTTCTCATTTTATACGAAGGCAGACGTCTTTTGTTCTGGTCTCATGTCGTCCATAAACGTTCTCTGGTCCCGTCCAAAACTTCTGATAATGAGGTTCTTAGAACTGCAGGAGGTGATTTACATTTAAAAGCTTTAATGCATTTTCCTGAACATCTTCCGACCTGAATAAAGTTGTATCAACGTTTACAGAGGTTCCGGTTCTGTCGTGTTTGCAGACGGTGGAGCCGGTGGACCAGCTGCTTCAGGGCGTGGATCCAGCCAAAGACAGGGAGCTGTGGGTGAAAGAGAACAAAACCAGCGAGGTCCGGCCCGTGGACATGGACATATAGACGGTCCCCACCTGGTACCAGGATTACCACACGTCCACAGAACTTATCATGGTTGGTGCATGTTCAGACCTGAGGCGCACTCATCCTCTCTGACTGGAATCACAAGGACCAGAAGGTCCAGAAGAGTTCAGGAAACGGGTCAAAGTACCAGCATGTTCCCCTGTCATAACCAACATGAGCTTACTGAATGCCATTACTCTAGTACTCTACTGTTCACTATTGTAAATTATTTAAAAAAGAATTCAGTGTCTTTTAAACTCTAATTTAGCTTTTCATGTTTGAGCAAATCAAACAAACAGAAAACTGACATCTGGTTCTTGACCTTTATTTTAGATACAGATGATGAAGCACACCCAGATGTAACGATGAATATATTTTCATATTTTTTTGTTTTGCTTTGCTGTTCCATTTTGGTGGAAATGCATGTTTTGGACATGAAAGCTGCCTGGTCTGTGGAAACCTGATGGTCGTTTCGTGTCTTTGGTTGAATTTGCACACGTTGATACCTTGTATTTAATTTAGCAACTTCCTCAAAGATTCTCTCTCTATAAAAAAAAATAAAAAAATAAAAACATGTACAGCTTTAAATCCGGTAACCTCACTGATTCAGAACTCTCTCAGTGTTTTGGAGTCGATTCTTAGCGGATCAGATTTAGGCCAGGGTCCATTTGGGATCAGTCTGGAGTAAAAAAAGGTGGTCCAAGTTACGCTGAAACACCTTTTAGTGCCTAACGGTTAATATATCTGGAATGTCCTCGATATATTCTCTGCATCCGTGTACATTTGTACATATTGGCTGGATGTATTTTGCCGAGCCGCAGACCAGCAAGTGTTTGCACTGTACTCTGTTGTTGGTTTTGTTTTCCGTGAACGTGCAGGGAATAGTTTTATGGCGGTGTTTAATCAAATTGTGTGTTGACAAAGAAAAAGAAAAGAAAAGGAAAAGCCTTCGTTTTTTGGGATTCTGTTGAAGCAAAAACCAGCTCCAAAGTATAAAACCTGCATGTGCACTCAGTGTCTGTGTTTACATGTGTGCGTGTCTGTCGTCTTTACATTTCTCTGCTTTGTTTACGGTTGTTTTCATTTTTTTCTTAGTTTTTCTAAAGAAGAATCCATTGCCCAAAGACAAACGTGCATCAGTCTCATGGAGCCCCATCATGATGTTTTATTGTGCTACAAGAAGACTTTGCTTTAACCTGTGCAGGTTTTAGGTATCTGAGTATCTGTTGTTTCATCGCTGTGTGTCGGTGTCGTGTCCTGTTCTCTTCCTGATGACGTAACGTTTGAGTTTACGGCCCCTGTGTGGTGAATGTTTACATCAAATCCAACGTTTTAAGGATGTTTGATCATACGTGACCTCTGTCCAGATTGTGAACTGAGCAATGCAGTGTGCAAAATAAATCTCCTCTGAAAATTAAACGGAGCAGTGTGTCATTACGTAACTGGACTGGGAGGCCGAGGCTTTAGAGATGCTGCATCTGTTACTGAACGCTTTCTGAAAGAACAAACAGTCCATCAAATTAAACCTATACGTCCTCCACAACTACAACACATCTAACACCATAAAACATGTTCATTTTATAAACCTGTAAAATATACTGGATGGATGATGATGGATGGATGGAGTGATGGATAGATGGTTGGTTAGATGGAGGGTGGATGGATGATAGATGGATGGATTCTTGGGGCGGCTGTGGCTGAGTGGTTAGAGCAGTCGTCCTCCAATGCAAGAGTTGGGGATTCGATTCGACCAGCAGTCACATGCCAAAGTGTCTCTGGGCAAGACACTGAACCCCTCATTGCCCCCGATATGTGTCCCATTGGTGTATGAATGTCATAAAGCACTGATTACTCTTTGTGTAGATCTAGTAGAGTGCTGTATGAATGGATAAATGAGGCACAGATTGTGTGGTAAAGTGCTTTGAGTATCTGCGATGCCTCTTATGTTGGGTTTGACGCTGTGTCTTTGGTTGAGGTTTGGAACTGCATTTTAATTTGGGTTTGGCGCTGCGTCTTCAGTTGGGTTTGGCACTGCATCTACTGTTGAGGTTTGGCACTGCATCTTCTGTTGAGGTTTGGCACTGCGTCTTCAGTTGGGTTTGGCGCTGCGTCTTCAGTTGGGTTTGGCGCTGCGTCTTTGGTTGAGGTTTGGAACTGCATTTTAATTTGGGTTTGGCGCTGTGTCTTAGGTTGAGGTTTGGCACTGTGTCTTCAGTTGGGTTTGGCGCTGCGTCTTCGGTTGAGGTTTGGCGCTGCGTCTTCAGTTCAGGTTTG